GTTCAAACCATTTACTATTTTACTAATAAATTATGCATGTTCTTAGTTTGGGAAGACTTAAATTGCACATCAGAATGGTGCGGCATAGCTCTTTCAATGTGTAGTTGCAGAAAATATCCATTCCCACATACACTCCTTTTACTGAGGGTTTTCTTGTTTGAAATTCATCCCCTTCCAAACCCCCATCCCCCTGGAAATTCCAGTTTTGGATAATACTTTCCTTATTTCTGATATTCTTCCTTGGGGTGGCTATGAAATCAATATTTTCTTGAAACAGCTTGCTGGAAGTAGTTCATTAACAGCTAATCACTATTTGTTTTGCTATGAACATTTAATATTGTTTTGATTTTCATTTGAACAGCTTCATTTAAGTACTGCTGATGTACTAGAAAGAGGTGGGTATTGATTTCTATTAGTGATATAATTGAAAGAGTACTGTAGTCTCTAGTAATTTCATATGCAGCTATTTATAATAAGCAAATGTTCTGGCCTGGGTGAATAATGCTATCCACCGGCAAGGTCCCGGTTGTTTGAAGGCTGGATAACTAGCAGAAAACTACTAACAGAAAACTATTTGATTCATTGATTGTTTATTTACCCATGCAAAATCATTTACAATATGAATTGTGACAAAAATAAGGGAGGGAAACTGATAGAAGAAACCCTTGCAGGCTTTTACCAGGCAGTGAAATGAATGACCAGAGATTTTCTTTTCCTGCTCTGTGACAAAGTCAGTAATCATGCCCAAGATCTTTTCTAATGTTTCAGGTGGAATGTTTACTGGGCTTCCAGATAAAGTCAACAGAAGCTGGATACTGACTGACAACAGCTTGAAGTACTTTGTTGAGATGTACAACAAGACAGGATTCAGGTTAGGAAAGTTCTGGGCTTATAATAAGGGCTTCTTTAGTCAGTCAGCTACAATTCTGACTCCCACATGTAAATGTTTAACAGCAGCAGTTTATGAAGCTGGGATAAAAAATTTAATGTGAAAAACAATATTTGGAAATAACTAAGAACACTTTTTATAGCAGCTTTTTTGTCCTCTCTCCATCTAGAGGACCTCTAAATTGGTACAGGACAATGGAAAAAGAT